GGCGGTCCAAGTTTTTTCGGTGTTCTTCCTCTTGTTGATGTCGAATACCCTAATAATTTGATTAAAATAATTGAGGCTCCCTCCATTTTTCGATTATTAAGTAACTATTWGTTCAACAGTAATTGGAATATATTTCCAATCAAGAGTTGTGACCCCTACATGACAGTAAGAAATAAGAAATATTGCACTGAATTAATATGGAATTAACGAGGGAATCACAACATAGAATTCTAAATATAAAGAGTTACTGTTTCAATGTGAAAACTCAAACCAATATCAATTTTCAAGTCAAATATTTCAAGCTGGGCCTGTGGATTAAATTCGTGAAACTTTAGACAACTTTATGCGTCACGAAGGGCCTACTGGATTTAGCAAAGCCCATCAATATCCAAGGTCCGGCCCAATCAATGGTAATGTTTACTTGGAGTGGTTTAAAAGCCTATATTATATTTGAATTGTTTAGGCTAATTTGTTAACTATTTTGGTTTTTTTTTCTGTTTTAAAAATTATGCTTAAAATATTTCTTTCACATATCTATGTTCCTTTGTTTTATTATATAATTTTTTGTAAATATTCTTTAAATCTAGACAATTTTGTAAAAGATGTATATAGTTTTCAAACTTCTTTTTATCTTTTCCTCGGGAAAAAAAAACTTCTTTTTAATTTAAAAACTTAGCTAAAAATTCAAATATGTTTTTAAGGAATATGAGAAAGCCTTTCGGAGAGAGAAGTCTTTAGAGCTGCTATGGTATGAGCTCTCACTCACGTCGTCTGTCTTGGAGATTCTATTACGTTGCTCGCCCTCGAGTGTTTGCTCGTCGTTACCCCATAGACTTYGAAACACATTCGGTAGGTCGTATCCTTGGACACTCTGTTCGGCAGCTTCGAGTGAACAAAGAAACTTCATGGGTCAAGCCCAACAATCAAAAGCGGGCAAACTTGGTTTGCTACARGACAAGGAAGGGCTAAACTGGGATCATTACATCCGAAAGAGAGGACGCTATAGCATCTCTATTGTTCCTTAGCTTCCTCGAGATGTGTGGTCTAGAAACAACTCATRACAAACGACCTTATTATTGTCCAGAAAAACTTCCTAAATGGCCATGCCTCCAAGAATGACCCAATCTAAACACATCCATGGCCCATAAAAGCATGATTCGCTGTGGGCCCTATAGAATTGGTTGTATTGGCAATTATGTAATTTAAAAAAAAATTAGCATTATTTTTATAGAATATTTAGAACTATCAAAATGATTATTTTCTAAAATGTTTAGAAATATCTATTTCATCATCAAGGCCACTAATAAGTTACAAGTAATATTTTCATTTTTATGGGTTTTTCTAATTTATATATTCTCATGGTCTATGTTAGTCGATTATCACTTTAAATTTCAATAAAGTCAAATCGAAAGGATAAATTGGACACTAGCAATTAAAGAGCCTACATTTTAGACAACCAAGGACTTGCAACCCGAAATTTATTTCTTGTTCTCTTTGGCAGATTTATTTTTYAAAACTCTTTTTAAATTCTGTGATTCAAATAATAGTAGTTTTAAAAACAATATGTTTTCCGCGTTCTCCTATTTGAAATTGCAAATTTTAAAATGTATAATTATATATAAAAAAAACAAAARCAAAAACTTTCATAAATATACTATTTCAAATTATAAATTTATTTCATTTCTAAAAAATTAAAAAGAGACCGTTTGTTTTTTGGAAATGCAGATGTCTGAAATTTAAGATGTTCGAAATTTTAAATGTCTTGCATCTTCAAATGACCATATTTGTTTTGTAGGAAAATACATAARGATGTCCGAGATTATTTGGATAACCACGTTTGTTTCATGGGAATGTTCTAAATTTATATAATGTTCCAAAAACTCCCTTCCAAATATTCATATAATTTATACATTAATCTAATATAATTTACATGTATATAATAGATTTTATTAAATTAATTTAATATTTTAAGTTTTTTATATTAATTGCATAAATGTATTAATTTTTGTATGTTATTAGGTAGAATCATATTAATATAATACTTTTTTAAAAGTAATTAATATTGAATATAAATTTCATTTTCAATTTTAATATTTTTTAAAAAATACAATTATATAATTAATGTTATATGGGATAAAATTCATTTATTATATTATCAAATCATATTTTTTAGGAAGAAAAATATCAAAGGTAAGCTGTTGCATTAGAATCATGTATTTAAGATAATAGATATCATTCATAATAATTCATTCCAAATATTAAAAATAAATRGAGATATTATATAATTTAATTGAAGTATATTTTATATGTACATGTAATACATAAATATACTTAATTACTTATTAGTCATTGAGTATATTAATTTATTTAAACTATAAAATTACAAATAAAACCAAAGAAATTTGATAAAAGAAAATATTGAATAAATAACGAAGGGTAAAAATGTCAACATAGGATGCTTTCATGGGAATCATGTAAACCCATATTTTAAAAAGGTATCCAAATTGACTTGGATGCCTTCTAAATGTAGGCGCGCATTTCGAGATACCCGGATATCTTACATTACCACAAAACAAATGTGGGGATCCAGATCCCCGTCTCATGAAAATCTTGGATTTCCGAAACAAACAACCCCTAAATGAAATCTCTTACCTTCAGACATCGCCAACCAAACCAAAACCCACCCTAAAAAAACTCATAAAACCAATTACTTGTCACCAAACCAATTTTCAGATGAACTTCCATTTTATTTTATTTAGAACTTCTACATAGAAACGATTAGCAAACAAATCTCCATTTCCTGTTGCCAATAAGAAAACAGAGATAAATAAAACACTGAACGAACCTTGAATTTTGAAATGTCCATTTGACTGAACTTTCTACCCCCATTTGTTTCAACCATAGATTCCATTCTTATTCTACTTACTTGAACTAAATAATTAAAACTCAAATTTACCTCAACCCATGACAAATAAAAKAGCATGAATCAAAACTGTAAGATGTGGAAATTGCTCAAACRGGTATTTTGGTGTGGATATTTCCATCATGCTTCAGATTTTGATATGCAAAATGAGAAAACCTTTAATGTATAAGCCTAAGCTAACCTTGATTCTGAGAAGACATGGAGTCCTGAGAGCTATATCTGGTCTGGATGGCCATGGCTGCCTCTCTTGTAGAATCTCCCTTCTCCACAATCTGTTCAAGCTCCACAATCTTCTCCAACAAAAACCTCGAATTTGAGTTGGTTGATTCAACCAACTTACTAGCAGTTTCAAGAGCACTGCACATCTGAAAATGCCCCAAAATACAGCCATAAGGAAATACAATTGTCAATACCTTTGCTCAAACATCAAACAGTCTTTCAAAATCAAAAGATATGGGTTGTTGTAACTTGTAAACAGGCAAAGTTTCAACCCCAAAATGTCCAGAGATTACTTCTTATCATTGTATCATGCAATAATAAATAATATGAAGGGGAAGGACCAAAAAAAATAAAAAATAAAAAAATCAATGTTTAGCACAACAAACACCCTACCTTCAAAGTCAAGGCTGTCCAGGAGTGATCCTTATCATCGAATGCTCTGTTCAATTGGTCATAATTTTCCTGAAGTAGAAGAAGGCGGACAGTGTTAGATTCTCGTCGMTATGATATTTGGAACGGGAAACAAACATAAAGCTCATAACAAAATAGTTCAAGCCCTTAAAAATCACAGTCGCAATACRAAAATCCGCGTGATCCTAGCATCGATTAGCCAAAGAACAAAAACRACCAACATTCGGAAGCGGTAATTGAAGAAGAATCGAGTAATGAAGAGAGAGGGAGAGGAAGACCTGAAAGAGTTTGGCGAGATCGGGGGATTCAGATACGTCTGGAAAACAGGATACAGAAGCAAAGGATGAAGATGATGATGCTACTGATTTGGGGGTTTCATGAGATCCTTTTCCTTCTCCGCCATCTTCTTCTCCAACATCGCACAGAAAATCGCCTATGCACAGAAGAGGTCCTCCAGTTCCCCTCATCTCTCTCTCTCTCTCTCTCTCTCTCTCTCTGCAAATCGGATCGAGGAGAGAGAGAGCGGAGCCCCCGACTGAACCATCTCTTGGATTTGGGCCTTCTCACCTATTCATCGCTGGGCCCATTTCTGCAAAACAAACACAAATATCAAAATAATTTTCAAATTACAAATATAATTTGAATCAGTTTTAAATGTATGTAAATGGAAATGTCAATTGTCAAGCTCTTAATTTTATGGATATAACGATAAAATACCAATGCTAATGAATATTTTTGGAAAAGGTTATAAAAATTAAAAAAATTATTTCAATTAACAATTAAATATTTTAACTTCTCTAGATTAGTGACATAGAAATGTCAATTTAACCCTGTCGAATTCATGGATACATAAAAATGTTTACATATCTAACGAATAATTAATACCATATTTCGAGTCAAGACACCAATCTCCGACCAAAAGGTCGTGCTATACGAAAGATAATCTCAAAAAAACAGCCATCCTTCCTATAGTTTTCATTTGATTACACATAGTTTTCATTTGATTACAATTCAACTCCCGTAAAGTTAAAATACTAGGTCACATGATTTGATTAAATCTAATAAAACATCTATGGCACTAAAATATAAAAACAATTTTTCTTATACAACACATTTTCTTTGAACGTGACTGAGATGAGAACTAGCATTAAGTATGAAAAAAAAAAAAAGATTGGCTGACTATTAAATGTAACACTATTTTTCTTTACCGGGTCGAAAGAAACATATCACATAACAACAATGACATTTTAGGAGATCAAACCAAATGATAAGAAAGAAATGAAACCAACCACACACTGCAAACTTCACCTAATTTTTCCATAAATTTAACAAAATTAACTAATCTAGATCTTTATTAACAATCAATATGAATATCRTGAAAGTTCAGCAATCCCAGAAGTTCATATTCAGAATAGTACAACTAAAGGAAACAAAGCAAGGCGAAAAATGCCAGCATTAAAAGGATGAGCACCTGTGTTTCAAACAGCAGCTGCAAACCATTCTCTGAAGGTTTTCAAATAACAGAAAAAAGTAGCGAAAAAGTGGTATCAAATACAACCTAGTTGGAGCCGCCCAACAACCAAAAAAAAAAACTTGATTGGGCTGCAAATAAAGAACATATGTCTGAAGCTGGATTTGTTGATGGGTGGATGGAGAAAAAAGTTGTACGGTGAATGGAACTGGCCGACAAAAAACAATGGCCTTCTCCAGAAAACCAGCTTCCCATTTTGTTTTTTTCCCTACACAACTAAAAAGCAATTAGTGCTGAAGCCACACATAGTACCCTTTTTCTTTTGTTCCCTCCTTTATCTACACTCTCCACCAGATCATGTTCTGTCTCCCTACTTAATGAAGCTTCAGCAGATATTACACCAACAYACCTTCCTCCTTTATACCTAAACACTATTGCCTTGCACTGATCTTCTTATCTACAACAGAGCAGGGCAATTCCAGAAATCAAAAAGAAAGAAAAAAACTGTCTGTGCCGTTATCATGTTCTGAAGGAGCAGTGGAATGGCAACACAAATGGTTTGGTTTGCCACATCGAACACCATGGTTTACCTTAAATATGAGCTCATGTATAGCCTAACACCGATGTCGATGGGTCCATCATCCCCACCAATGGCATGAAGTGCTACAGGTATGGTCGAAAAGAGTCGTACTGTGAGGGGGAAAACTGCAGGGACAATTCCAGTATCTGAAGTATGAGATTTCAAATTGGACTCTTGTTCAACAGTAGCACCCTCTGTAGTACTTRCTCCACCCGACTCACTAGGACTCCCTCCAAGAATCCTCTCTTGAACATTCAGGTCGCAAGGAGAAATAACTAGTGCAACTTCTTCCAATGCCTTCCACTTACTTGAACCTCTACTCTTAAACGAGCGCCTAGTACCAAAAAAACTAAGCACCAATGTCGATGAAGCATCAAGCCATTCAACTGCCAAACCTTCAACTTCGTCGTAGTATATTCTCCGCTCAATCTGATATCAAACACCACAAGAAAAAAATTAAAACACAAGAAAAAACAAGTTCAGACATTAAAATGTGAATGCAGGTTGCTCAAAGAACACTTACAGCCAGCTTCTGAATATAAAGAGACATAAATCTTGGACCAAGGCCCAGTACCCTCGCATCTGATAACAAAATCTGCAAGTGTAAAGAAGAAGCCACACATGAAGCAATCATCCATCCAAACTTAGTACTTACAGGACRAACAAAAACGTGATTACATCAGCATCTATATGAACATACAGGTGTGCACTTCAATCCGTGTCGTCAAACAAAAACCACATATGTTTTGAAGATAATAGAACAGTTAACATGGAAAAGTAAAACTCCAATGAAAATGYGAAAAAAATTATCCTCGCAAGAAATACCACCTGTGGGAGAATTTAATGACATAAAACGTAACAGAGAATTCAGGTTATTGATCCAATTATAACATACAATGAAAGACGGAATACAGTTTGCTTTGTTGGGGAGAAAAGAAATCAGAATGCAAACTAAGAGACTAAAAAAATACCACAAACTACATAATAGAGAAAAAAATTACCATCAAAAGAAGCACAGTATAACCAGTTCATATGTAAGGCTAAGAACTACTCTTTTTTCGAAACAAAATAGCAAGTTAATTACCAAACCAGTTTAGAATAAGAACGTCCCCAACTTGAGGAAATGACAAATATGGTTGCACAAAGATGGTGTTCAAATTGAATTAGAAAAGGGCATAGAAATTCTGGAAACAAAAAAGAAAAAAAGAAAAGGGCATAAAAGAATACCTCYTTTTTCTTCAAAAGAGCCCACATGTAGAGCTTATCACATGCATCCGCGACATGCTTACTAGCCAATTTTCTATTATTGCAGTGCAGAGCAACATCTGAAAGTAATTTAGTGCATGGAACTCCATGCTTCAGTGCAGCAGCCGATAATGCTTCTCTACCTTCTAAGGAGTCAGCAGCATCTTTGTCAAAATGAATGCCAGTAAAACATCTCATCTGTTCATCACCATTAACTTTCTGTATGATTCCTTGATGCTTCAAATACAACTCCTCGGCCTCAATAGCTGCTGCAAGCGTGCGATGGACAACAATATCAGGATACCGTCGCAATGGTGAAGTGAAATGTGTGTATAGGGGGACAGCCAGTGCGTAGTGACTCCCATTTTCACCATCTTTTAACTCTCCACTACAGAAATAAGTTGCTAATTGCATTGGCCTTGTAGCATAGGATATGAGAATATCGAACAGTAAAGGATCATCATGAAGTTTTTTCCTTATCTGCTCCAATGACTGTTGAAACTGCACTGAAGAGGATGTGTCGAGTTCAAAACCATGCTTAGAACAAAATGATTCAAATTCTCTGAGTTTCCTCATTACAGGTTCAGGATGCCTTCTCAATAATGCACTGTCCGGAAAAGTTCTGGATACAACTTCAGCAACAGTAGTATTTGCCAAAAGCATGAACTCCTCGACAAGAAAATTTGAATCCTTATGTTCATAAAACTTACTATCATACGGAATTCCATATTCATCATATAAGTAAACTCTTTTAGAATTGTCAAGCCGCAAGGCCCCATCTCTAAATCTCTTCTCCTTTAGAGTTTTCGAAATTTCATGAAGAATTTTAACAGATGAAATGACATCAGGCCATGCAAATTGGCCGTGCAAATGGGGGCAATGATTTCTTGAAATCTTTGAACAATCAGAATCAAGTAATCCATCAATGATGTCTTGAGCATGCTCATATGAAAGTTTGCAACAAGAGCATATCACAGTACGACCAATCCAACAATTTTTAACATCTCCACAATGGTTTATGTCCAAAAACAATGAAAACGCAAGTCTATCCACTCCAGGGTTAAGTGAACCAATATTCTCAGAGAGTAACGGTGGCAACATTGGTATCTTGCGTTGCAGAAGATAAAAACATGTTGATCGGATTTGAGCCTCCTTATCTAAGGCAGTTTCTGGCAATACAAAATGTGATACATCAGCAATATGAATACCTACTCTGAAGATGCCATTGGCTAATTTTTCAACAGAAAGAGCGTCATCAAGATCAGAGGCAGTGGAAGGATCAATAGTAAATATGCATAAATTTCTAAGATCTCTTCTGCATTGAAGTTCATCTGGCGGGATCTTCCAAGGGGTATGAGGGAGGCAAGACAGTGAATCATGAGAGAATTCACACGTACGAATTGCATTTTGAAATAAAATAGCATCAACATGCGATTCTACTTCACTCCCTTGTCCTAGAACATGCAAGACATGTGCTCGTGGAGCTGAACTCTCTTGAACCCATTCATGAATTCGTGCAGCGACAAGCTCACTCTCAACTGTTACATCACCATTGTCCAATCTCTTCTTAATGTGGTCAGGTAAATCTTCTGTAAGAACCATCATCATCGGGAATCTTGCATCATTAGGCATCAACTGGACATATCCATGATTAGGCGATGACGGTAAACATGATTTTGTATTCATCTCTTTCATATAAATCTCCTGGAAGGAGAGGAACTTCTTGACAATAAGATGGCCAACAATAGATTCTCGTTGTAGAGAGTTTTCTAGGATGGCTACTACCCTGCCAGTTGGTCTTTTTGATGGATGTAAATTAATCACTGCACAGATCTTCCCTATGGCTTTAGAGACATCATCTTGATTGCAAGAATAATGAGCCTGTGAAGAATCCAAAACCAATGACTGGTATACGTCAGATTGCTCGTAATTTGATAAAAGAACATCACAAGCAGTTCCATCCAAAACTTTATTTTCCTCACTACAACACCTCTTATCAGGTAATGAGGAACTCCTAAAATTGTTAGACTTAACGACGTCAACTTTATTCTTTTCTTCACAGTTATGACCATCCTTTCCATTCTCCTCAGCATGTATGTTGGCATCTTCCATTGAATGCATGTTGTTATGAGCCTCACTGGCACCTTTCATCCTAGTCCATGACGTAAAAGGATCCACCTTAATTGCAACTGTGTCACCTTCCACCTAGATGAGGATAGTGATTCCAAATCAATAAAAATTTCTACCCCCGTGGCAAAAAAAATCCAAATGCAACAGGCACACCTCTGGACCCCTTCCATTAGTTTACATTATAAAGAAAAACTCAACACAGATAACATGAATAAATCAGTTAATTTTTCTAGGCCTCATAGTGTCATGCCCCTCCAAAATGCAAGCACCTTTTTAAATCAATTATCTCCTAAACAAACATAATAAGCTCATGGGTCAGGCCATCTGGGTAAGCAGTACATGGGACATAGATGAGTGAGCGAGTACCCAGATACATGAAAGTAACATGAACGAGAMGTTCCAAGATTAGAAGCATACATCACACCTCATGGGACTAAAAAGTGAACTAAAATGTTTAAATCTTTTCATAAAGCCTATAACAAATTTTCAGTTTATCCGCGAGGTTGTGCATGTAAACGTGCATTTGTATGTGTTGCATGAGAGAGAGAGAGAGAGTACTCACAGCTCTATTCTGAGATGCAATTCCATTGATTAAGACATCAACTGGTAGTCCATCAATTTTGCAGTAGGCCTACAAAATAAATATATCGTGTTCAAGCAAAACTTGAAAGAAATAGAAGTGAACAAACGAACTCAGTAGATCAGACTCAAAGCACGAAACATCAAAGAATTTTCCAAMAAAATATACTAAAGGGATTTGAAACAAACCTCAAGTCCATTGTGAGCATTAACACGAAATAATGCTATAAATATGTCACCTTTCTGCAAAAGTGAAAACAACAGCGGAATTGCTGCATTATGTCAGATGATTTCATATCATTTGAACAAAGCACTCTCCCCAAGCATTAAACAAAATCAGAATGTCACACTGACCTGTAATCCTTCATTAACATCATCCATCGACCAGTGTGAAGTAAAATATTTCCTTTGCGAGTTATTTTCAGTCACATGGGCAGGAAGTGAATTCTGGTTCGCAGATATCCCAGGCACCCTTCCACTGGCAATCTCTTGAGGACATGATTTTATAATCCTTCCACCAGCATTCGATGAATGAAAATGCTGATTTATCAAATTTTGCGACTCAGAAAATTTTGCTTGTTCGCTAATGTGCAAAGGGGGCAAAGAACTAAACGCAATCTTATTTGTTCTGGTCAAACCATGCTCTGTTGGATTATTTGATCGATACGCTGGTTCCGTCAAAGAAGAATAATTTGTGGGTGCTGTTAAGTTGGCATCTATTCTACCATTTTCCATGCACTCTGACGTTTCTCCCGGTATTTCATTGACTGAACTGCAAGACACTGCCAAAAGGAGCAACATATCTTGTAAGTTAAAAGTATATTAGAGCAGAAATGGGGTTTGGGGAAAAAGAAAATAAAACACAAAAGCATCTTCCTGAGCAACAAAAAAAAAAACATTTGACTTCGAGAAACAAACATCAAAGTATTGATTCAGAATCAGCACATATCAGAGCCCTGTGAATATTATCTCTATGTAACACTTAACAGTAATTTTAAGTACTGACAAACATAGTAATTTGTGAACTACATCTGCGAGGATTCCCATATCAAAGAAGGATACAAAACTAACAGGTATAACACTCTTAATCATACCCCGGGGAGTCTTTCTCTTAACTCTCAAAATCGAGAGATTCAAACGGAAGTCTATTTATATTTGAAACTCATTCTATATGGTAATAGGCAACAGGAAAGGATTTAAGTTAAAGAAGACCAAGAAATGCAGAATGTTCCATGCTAAACCTTGCATCCCCACAGCCGCCCCGCCCCCAAAAATCCCCACGCGGGAGAAAGAGTGGAAGTAGTAGAAGTATATAATCACCCAAAGAGAATGGATTAACTAATGAACAACAATCAAATCGAAATATGTAGCATTCTTACTTAATAGTCCAAAAGAAAAAATCAGGGAAAATGACAACGAACTAACAAATGCTCGAGTTGTGTAAGCGTGCAAACGTTTTTAAGATTAACAATCAACTTCCCAGGCTGTGCTAAGAAAATCCGGTAAAGGCCCACGAATTAAAATTAAATTCAAGCAAAACATGTTAGAGAGAACAGTACCAGCCGTGGTAATAGAGGCGGTCTGGGTCTGCTTAGATCGGCGATTGGATCGACGCTTCTTTCTCTTCTCCTTCTCCCCATCTTCGTTCCTCTCGGAAGTGGATTGCTCAACAGCTGCCCTCATAATAAAAGCGCAACGAGCTCGAAACTTCACGGAACTGGATAAGAATTACACGGAAGGGCAAGAAAAACCTCAAATCTAAACCAAACACAAAAGGAAATTCCGTCGGGATAAGGCAATCTTCCGAATTGTTGAAAAAAGCACCCGGAAGACGCCTCGGCAATGGATCTAAACGAACCAAAAAGTTAAAGAAAACAAAGAAGAGAAACAGAAGGCAGTGTTTGGTGAGAGTGTGAGAGCGCGATGGAAGACGAAGAAGAAGAAGAAAGAAAGGGAGGTGATGATTGGTCGGCGAAGACAAGGCCGCCGACTCTCGATTCCTTTGTCTTCCCACTTAGCCTTTTTTTTTCCTTTTTCTTTTTCTTTTTTAATTAAGGAAAGAAAAAAGCCTCAGTCTTCTCTTCTTCCGGTTCTGGTGGTTGGGTTGTGTTACCTGCCCGCCAAGATTGGTCAGTTACTGACACGTGTCCTTCCCCGCTATGTGCGTTCCTTTCTGCGCACTCCTCTCACCACACATTTTCAAGTTCAGCCTTTACGTCTTCAGACTCTTCACTGTCTACTGCCGGTCATCGCTGCCTTTTACTCTTCCCCGTAATTACTCCTAATGACCCAAATCAAGAAATCTTCCTGAATTCTAATAATCATCGATTCAAACAAAAATTGGATGAGTCTTTTCAACTTTTAAATTAAAAAATCTATTTTAGATTCAAAATTAATTGTTTTGGGTCTTAAATTTTCGTAATATTTTTAGCACTTGAACTTTATTTTGATTTGAACAAGTGAGTTGATACAATTTCAGSTATGTATGTCAATGTATTGACGTGTACATGTATTCAAATCAAATCAATCGAAAACGAGTATTAAGTAAGTGAATTTTAGGTGATAATACAGTATTACAATACCAAAATRGTAACTTTTTAAAACTTTGTGGAATAAAYTATATATTTTTTACAGTTGAATGCAAYAAATAAGAAAGTSAASGTACGCAAAGATGATGTCAATCTGAGCATAGCAACTAATTAAGGCACTCCAACTAAAAAGTCGTGAGTTTGAATCCCCACTTTTGCATGTTGTACTTAAGGGGAAGAGCAACCCTAAATAAACTGATTTTCGCCACACGGCTTTTCGTGAAAATTTGGCACACAGTCTCAAGCAAACTCTCACCCTCAARATTACTACTCTTCTACTCTACTTGCTTCATGCATGTTTGCTCCCAACTTGAGCTCTAACTTAAGCATTGGAGTGCATTTAACAGAGCACCGCATCGGTGATCGATTTCTATGTGTAAGTAGCTGAGAACTTGGAGACAAAGACGTATGTGGCACGAATGTGATACTTATGTGGCGCTTGTCCATAAATTGACATCAACAAGCATAACTCRTCAATTAAGGCATCGCTCGTTCTTTTGAGGTCCCAAAATTCTCACCTCAAATGTGTTGTAATTAAAACAAAAAAAAATTAAAAGTTTTTTTAGTTCAGCAATTTCGAATATAGGAGATCGTACCATAAACCTCATGGATGGTAATAGATACTTTCTTTAGTATGTTGAATTTGAAAAAATAAAAATAAAATAAAATACACTTTGTGTTAAAATGGGTTTTTGTGGTATTGATGTGTGCGAGTGGAGATTTGAACCTACAACATTTTTTTACCGAAAATATATATCAGTTAAACTATATTTAACTTGACTATTAAAATGTCAGGGTTCCAATCACTATTCGTACSTAAAGAAAATACAAATGTGGTCTATTTATTGTAAGGTCAAAATTATGGTGCCCAGTATTGTAGAAGTCTAACACTTGTTCATTTTTTCAGTTGGAAAGTCAATACTCATATTTTGCTACCCACGGTCCAAAATCTAATTATTGTTAGGTAACGTTACATTCTTTTTTATTTTCTCTCAATATCCTCATTTTAGTATCTTTTTTGAGTTTTAATTTTTCTAATAAAACAAAAATTAAGTTATAATATTGTTTGTCACCAACTCCAAAATAATGCTATATTGTTTTTTTCTAATTTTCAGTTAAAATAATATTGTTTAAATCGGTCAAAACGAGGATAGCTTAGCAACAATTGACATATATCTCCAATCAATAGATTGTGAATTTCTCCTCACCTCTATATGTTGTACAAAAAAATTATTGTTTAAACACATTAAAACATCACAAATTTTATTTTAAATGTTCATGGATAACTAACTCTTTTATGTTATTTATGTCACTTTTCGTTAAGGGTAGAAACTTCTTATAAACATTAATAAAAATAATATATATGTATAGGAATTAAAATTAAATTAAAGTTGAAAATTGGTGATTACAAATTTAATTTAATCTTATTATCAGCGTTGCCATTGTTGAGTTTGGTGGATCGAGTTTGGCCACTACATCTTGAAGTGGAATCGTTTCAGAGTTTTATCTTTGACAAATAAATGGTTGATTTAGTACTTAGTTACATCATTAGGGATTTGAAAGAAAAAGTATTTAATTTACAGTTTTACCAGAAAAGAAAGGTTATTTATTGTTCCTAAAAAAAAAATTTATTTATTATGATGTAGTTTGTAACAACCCGTATTTTCTAATACGGTCATTCTGACCAAATGCGGAAACCTAACTTTCAAGAAACCTTAAGAACTAAAATGATTCAGCGGAATCAATTTCTTTACAGAATTTTTATTAAGAGGATGACTTTCAAACTCATGCCAGTATGCTAAACTTCACCTTCTACCAGAACGATCATTYAATCCTTCATCTGAAAAACATTTAGGAAAACAAAAATGAGTACAAAAATACTCAATAAGCAATTTCCATATCGAATTTCAAAATTCATTTTCMTTTCAAAATATTCGTAAACAAAAAGACGAACAAATCAAAACTTTTAAAGTCCTTTAAAATCTTTAATACAATTTTCAAAACTTTCAAAATAAACTAGATTTTCGGAAAYAAAGTCTTCAAATAAGATAAAATTTCSAGTCAATCAAAMCAAACTTTCATTCTTTCAAAACAAACTTCCATTCATTCAAAACAAACTTTCATTCGATCAAATTTCAAATCCTTCAAAACAAACTTCCTTTCAATCTAAACTTTCAAAGTTCCTTCYAAAACATTTGGTACACCTTTCAAACTTTCAAATAACTAAATCATTCGAACATTCAAAACAATCTTACATTCATTCATACTTTCAAAATCAGAGTGGAAGGTTGCATTATTTGGGTAGCCTACAGAACATATGTGGTTACCCGTCGGTAACGCCAAATCAATCAGAAGCTTCTATCAGAGTTGTCGAATTAATATCGACCAGAACAGAGTTGTCGAAATAATATCGACCAGAACAGAGTTACTTAAGTGTGAGGCCATGTGAGTGAATAACACACACATGAATTTTCATTCCTAAGGAATGTCAAACCACACAAAAGTGTCTTCCCACAAATAAATCAGAACAGAAATCCATCAATTCCAAATTAGGCTACTACCCCAAATAAGCAAAACATTCCTCAAAACAAAAATCATGGCATATCCGGATAGCCCTATGAAATCAGTCAAAATATCTTTCAAATAAAATGCAAAACAAATACTCTTCAAATAAAATGCAAAACAAATACTTACTTTCAATATTAAATTAATTCAAAACATTGAAATAATTTAAAACAAACTTTATCAATCCTCCGTGATTTCAAATATTTCACAAATAAACAAAATATCAATTTCAAACCTTTAAATATATCTAAACAAAACTTTATCAAATCATTTAACAATACTTCAAATACTTTGCAAATAAACATAATTTCAATTGCCAAATTAGTTTYCAAATCYATAATAAAACTTCAATTTCATATGCAAGATATCAATTTCAAATCTTCCTATCAAATCCAAAATACATTTTARTTTTTGAAATACGACAAATCACTTACAACACTTTTCGAAGGGATATGGTAAATTACTTACAATACTTTTTCGAAGGGATATGACAAATTACTTACAACACTTTTCGAAGGGATATGATAAATTACTTATCTCTTTCAGAAATCCTACGAATCTAGTTAACTTCTTCCTTGGTAGTTGTCAACTTAGAGGCCTAGAAACAACCAATATCCAAAATCAATTCTTAAATCCTATCCAAGGATTTAAAATTCAACCAATTACTAACTCAAATCTTATCTACCCAATTTTCCCATTCAAAACACTTTTTTTATGTAAAATAATTAGGAAATTATGGATTTGGGGCTACAAAACCAGATCTGAAAACTAGGTTAAAAAGCYTCTAAATTYAACAATAACAAATTTTAAAACTAGAAGAATCGATATAAATCAATATGAACAAAATTTTACAARAAGTTTCTCAATAAAACCAGCTTAAAAACCTTCTAAACAATTRGAAATTGGAGATTTTAAATCTGAAAATTTTTCTGTTTTATAGAATAAAACTTCCAAGAATTTTCCATAAAACAATTAACAATTTCTTGATTTTTATAGAAAAATCAGATCTGAAAGCTTTTTAGAAAACCTTTAAAATTTGGTAAAAACATATAATTTTTYATGTAAAAATCATAACAACAAACTATAATTTATAGGATACAAATAGGTAAACTTTTTATGTAAAAAGAGCCTCAAAATAGCCCAAAAACAGTCTTATAAACAAAAAATTCAAACCAAAAATTCTGRAAAATTTTTAGGGTAAAAAGTCCTTAAAATCTTTTATTCTAAAAAACAAAGACCTCCAAACTTTTCCCAATAAACTGAATTAAAGAACTACAAATCAAGAAAAAAATAAACTAAACAATGAGAAGAAAATCTTACGGATCTTTGAGAGAAAATACCAAACTCTTCTTCCTTTCTTTTCTTTGAGAGAAAATTCTATCTGTATAGATGGGGGAAACCTAGAGAGCTTTACTTTAAGATAGCTCGGGCAAGCAACTCCTCTTTCCGAAGAAGAGTGCCACCCCTTGACCTGACTTATTCAGGCCTTTAGGTGAGCTTGCGTAATCGTAATAAGTAAGTAAGCACAACTCAACTCTTCTCCGGGTGACTGGATCGCCCCGGCGGGGTTGCTCTGACTCAGAGGGCCCTGAGAAGCGCAACACTCCAGTAACTGATCCTTTTGTAGGTTCAGGGGCAAAGCGTACCTTGTTTGATAGGCTCCCTTGGCAATAGTTTCACTTCTGATGTTCTGCCTTGATGAGTGGGAGAGGTAGCCGAATTAGGATATCACTATTGGCACGGACACAGCGCAGGAAATTTCGATCCTAAAAATGGGAAATAAACATGGAGGAAAACACAGAAAATAAAACTTAGGGTTTAAGGGCTTTTATAACAAACCCTAATGAATCCTTATCTAAAAAGGATAATAAAAAGATAAAGATKTAATAAACTCTTTCTTTTTATTTTTTAAATTCTAAGAACAAATTATCTTTTAAAAGTTATTTCTAAAACAAAAAGGTTTATKTTTGAGAAAATAAAAGAAAACAATTAAAAAATAATAATAACTTAAATATATATATTTATATATATTTTTTTGATTGTTACATAGTTCAAGTTTTGAGGCTGTCTGTTTGTTTTTATGGCTGTGCTAAAGAAAAAGTTAGGTGGATTGTCAAATCCTAATATTTTTTCCCTCCAAAAAAACCAGCCATTTGAGTGAATATTCATTGGATTTTTAAAAGTTAGGCTTAATTATTTGAAATTTAATTCGTACCTACTGAAGTTGGTCTTCTTAATACATTTTGGATGTGAATTGGTAGTATAGTTCAAGTAGATAAAGATGTAAAATAATTTGTCTCCTTATAAAAARAGGCTGCGAATATTTTTTCTTCGTGTTTATGGTTGCACTATTTTACTCATCGATTGTTGTATAGGTGTAGCCAATTTTACTTTGTTCCCTATTATTTAATTGAAGTGATTGTTATGTAAAAAAAAAGTATATTAAACAAAAAAAAAGGTGGATAAAGATATTTATTGTTAGATATCTAATATGTTTAGAACTAATAAAAATAATAAGCAAATTAACAATGAATTCAAATAGATAAATGCAAGGAAACATATATTCGATCAAATGGTCTAATGCTCTGATATCGAAATGTTAAGAAACCTTTGAGAATTTGATCTAAGAATCTTGCTAACAAACAARACCCATATAACTCAATCTCAAAAAATCCAAAAACAAGTATGGAATCAACCCAAGAAAAAGTTTAAGAACGAATTACCTTGATGATCAATATCAAATATAGAGAAAACTTGTTTTTAAACTGGTGATTCGAATCACTCCACAAAAGGTATGACCAACACCACTTGAATGATTATAACATGCAATTTATAAAGACACAAGAAATTGCACAATATATGGGAGATAAAGTTGTCAACCAAGTTAATGAGAAAACTCACTTTTCATTCAACTTCAAATTGTCTCTACAACAAAAAATCTCAAAGTTATATATAACCATCCTAGCAATTCATATGAAAAGTCTTAAGTAAATGAAAAGACATAATTTACAAGAAATGAAAAAGACTTGCAAATAAAAAAACATGACCTAAATAAATTAAAAGACAAGCAAATGGAAAGACTAAGAAAGTGGAAAGCGAACAAAATTAAGTGCAATCCCGTCCATAATGAGGGATGTGAGTGTATGACTTGATTTTTGTATTGAACGAGTTGACTTTGACTTACCTTGATGGAGTTGACCTTGACATTGACTAAGTTGACTTGACTTACCTTAAAACCACTTAGAAATGTATAACTTGCACCAAATTGTAGTGAATTGTTCTAACATCTTGCACGAATGCTTGAACACGAAGTAATAAGGCTTGTTGAAGTTTCCTAGCTCTTGATATTGTAATCGGTCCATGAGGCATGACAAAGGGAGCTCATTGATTCATATCAATAGACATCTTAATCGATTGATCTACTTCGAGGTTGGTTTACGTCATTAAACTTTGTATGTAATAGTTTAGTTCTTTATCAATTAAGATTATAACAATCTAATCCTTATTACGAAATATATCATCAAAATTAAGTATTGATCCTTATTATGTTGTAAAAAGGATTGGAACTGGATAGAGTAGGATCATAGCTAAAATGGAGTTGAGAAGAAGTAAAGAGAAAGAAGAAAAAAATGACACATTGATTTTACATGAAAAACCACTAAACGAATTAGGGTAAAAACCACGGACGAGGAAGAAGAATTCCACTCAATAAAGTAGGAATTACAAACTTTATTTTTTATGGAGAACAAAATATCTGATGAGAAGAAACTCTCTCTATCTTTATCTCACTAAGCCCCACACTCACTTTTAGCTCACTTGGAATTGAGAATTTTTGGGATGGTTTGCCAAGTATGGATATTCACCTATTTATAGTCCATTCATACTTGCTCCTCAAGCAAATTTCTATTGCTATAATTATGCCACATATTGCACTCTAGTATCTTCTAGTTTATTCAATTTTCCAATGAAGCTTCTTGAGCAAACTTACTTAACCTAGTGGCTTCCAAAGATTTCTATCTCTAAAGAGGTTTCTTGAGCAACATTTGACAAACCACTTAGTGGTTTTGATATGCTTCAATCAACGCACATCATGCCATGAGGGCCAACCGATGAAGAAGGGAATCTCCATTTCCACATATGGATTATTCAAGCTTCATGAGAAAGGAGAACAAGTGGAGAAAGAAACTTTTAGGGGTTATATAGGGTTTGATCATTAAAATAGTGTTTTCATGTAATTAGAATTGTAACCTTCTTTTGGATTTAATGGAAAATTTATGTAATAGCTCTTAGAGCCAACTTTAGGTTTATGTAACTTAGTTAAGTCCCTTTGTAACTAGTTTAGTCTAGGTTTAGTTAAAGTCATTTTCCTTTTATTTTAGGGAAATTCAAGATGCCTATAAATAGGCTTCTTCTTGTACATTTGAAGGTTGGATTATTGATGAATGAAAATAGCCATTGAGTTTTCCTCTTTGCTCCCAAAACCGTGAGCATTGGTGCTTCTTGATCTAGTTGCACAAACCCCTTGAAACATTCAAGTTTAGGTTGGTAATCAAACTTGTGGAGTGTTTCACTTTGGATCTAGAACAAGTTCTCTTCATCCAAAACCTTGACCTTCAAGTTAAGTCCCTTCTTCTTCCCCTTGGGTGACTCTTTGTGTGTAATAGGTGTTGTCATGTGTGTTTAGAAGGTGCTTGTTCTTACAAGGATATTGTCTAAACCACTTGTGGTAGGGTTGGGTACATCAGGTTTCTAAAAACTTCTTGAGCATACTTGAGAAATATTATTTAACATATTATATAACAATTTAGTATTATAAATACAGTTGATCTCTTATTGTTTATTGATCTACACATAAGAGATTAACAATATATTTTCATATTAGATATTAAATCGTTATAAACTATAATTAGACTAAATAGTTACTTCAATTATGAAAAAACTTCCCCTTGGAAGAGGATTTTCACCCTTACACGTGGCCTATGATGACTAGATCTTAGATAAATAATACACGTGGCTGGCGATAAACCTCATGTTTCATTACCTCGGACACACTCATATGTATCCCGAGCCGATGTCTTGAGCGGCCGAGCCGATCTAAATGTTCAAATACTTTGTTATCACTTCGCTTAGTTTATTAGTCTTACCTCGACTCAGCCCCAGACTCCGACAGATTCCACGACAGCACGTCGTGATTCACGGCAACCTTAAAGAGCCGTTAAGGCATTGTCGGGACAGTTTTCGGAGGAGTTGCCTATAAATAGACTCATTTCCCTCATTTGAAGGTACGCAATCAAACCAATTCTCTCTCGAATTGACTTGAGCATTTGCTAACTTTAGCATCGGAGTTTTTGCTCTGTTTTGCAGGTCCTCTTCACATCATCGGGAGCTCACTACTTAGCTCATTCTTGTTGAACCGAGGTTTGGAGACTTGGTCAAATTCTTGATCAAACACTCCCCTTTTCCTATCATGACACATTTGATGACACATTTGATTAATTAAGAAGATGAATGAGATGAATTTCCACAAACATCGAAGAACAATTTTAAGAGCTATACTTGAGTTGGCCAGTACATAATATTATTCTTTAAAAAATAATTTTGTTTTATTTATAAATTGCAAGAACCATTAGATCACATCACCGTACAAAATAGCACATTCGACCCCAGATCCGGACTGCGGCATTTAACGACCGCCGACGTTGACCGGGTCGAGGTAACGGTGGCGTTAAAGTTAACAGAACAGTCACCCCATCCAGTTTATTAAAAAATAATAATAAATAGAAAATAAAGTTCTTAAAATATGACGTAGCTGTAACCAATCAAAATTCGCGCAAATTATCGTAAAAAGGAAGGCAGGAAGCAAACGAACCGTATTTCGACTTCGACCTCCCGCTTCTGGAATATCGCACTTCTTTCGCTCCGAGAACTCTCTGGAAAGTCTCCCATGGCGTATGTTGAACGAGGTTTATCTCTCAATTTCTAATCAATTTTATTTCGATTTCACTGCTGAGGGACTGGTTTGGAAATATTATTGATTTTTCTTTTTAATTTTTTTGCTGGGTTGTCGAAGGATTGGTTTCGCAGAACTGGGGATTTTGGTTCTATTGTTGATTTTGTACACGATCCTTGTGTGTTTGGGTTGTTGATTAATTATCTTTGGATCCTTTCCCTATTTCCCGTGATATCATGCATTTTATGATTCTGATTTCGATTTTGAGCTTAGTAAGTTAGATCCAATCAAATTGTTTGGAATCCGCGGTATTCTTAAGGAACAATGATCCAGTTGCATATCACTTGGTCTAATTCTTCTAATCATTTATCAGGAACTATATAAATTCTATGTTATTCGAGTTTTTCTTTGTCGCGTATTAATGAACTTCAACAATTTTCCCTGTCATTTCACTAGGTCCTCAAACCTTGCTCCATTTTAAACTCGAGTTTGAGGGTTTTTCTTCCCCTTAATGATGAAATTCATGACCGAGGTTTATTTTCATTTTTGTGGGTTTATCTTTTGTGTGCGATTTGATCACTTGCTTGATGACAACGTTATGGATGAGTTCGGGAAATTGTCACCTGATACTGGGGCAACTTCGATAATTTATTCTATGTTGTATGAATTGAATTCTTATTTCCGACCTTAAACTTCAAATTTGGTGGTGCCACTTTGACAAGCTGTTATTGACCCTTTAAAGATGAAGGTATTTGGTTATCTCTTTTATCCA